CATCCCATATGATAATAGTCTTATCCATTCCTCCGGACACTAAGTGACTGCTATCGCAAGACCCGCGACAGTCCATCACTTCGTATCCGTGACCGCTATATGTCTTGAGTAGCAGTCCTTTCGATGGATTCCATAGCTTAACACTTTTATCGCTTCCACCAGTGATGCAATAGTCACCATCAGCTGTTCCAACACAAACACCACAGTTATAATTGATTGAAAGCATTCAATGCATACAAACCATTGAACCTAACGGCGCGAACGGCTCCCTGTTTGCACTCTATCTTTATTATCTGCTTCACCGGTAAACTCATTGTCTTTTAATTCATTTGTCGTTATTTTAAAAGTTTTAAATTAAAACTCATTTAAAGTTTATTTTGATTTTTGAGCCAAAATTATGGCCACAGTATAGATAAATGGGGCCATTCATAGACTACGTTACTATTCTATAACAGAATTTGTGAATTTCAGAATTCAACAGAATTTGTATGAATAAAATATTGTATTTGCCATCTGATGGACAATTCCTATGAAATTCACATCACAAGTGCCCCCTCTCTGCCCCCTCTGTGCCCCCAATTGCCCCATAATATCCCGGATAAGGGAAACAATGATATATTGTGTGTCAAAAGTGGTTGACGTCTATAAGTGGTGTGAAGTTTGCCTATTATTTAATGATAAGTACAGTANTAATATCCCGGATAAGGGAAACAATGATATATTGTGTGTCAAAAGTGGTTGACGTCTATAAGTGGTGTGAAGTTTGCCTATTATTTAATGATAAGTACAGTAAACACGAGATAACAAGTGTTGACAGATATATGCGATCGCAATGTCGTGTGAATTACACTACAATTGCTTATAAATCTATCAAAACTTATCTTTCAATTCATTGCAATCACATTAATAAAGACAATACTGGATATGAATAGTATTGAATACTCTCTATATCTGGCGTTCACTCAATTTGTGTCTAAATGTGTTTCAAATTCAGTAAAGATATGAATAAATATAATATTTGATAATAAAGTTAGCATTTCGTGAGTGTTGTGTATGTGTTGTGTAACTGACGTAACGTTATATACGTATGAGTTGTGTTGAGTTAAGCGCACAATCATTATACTCTGTGATTGGATTCAGTGATTCATTGATTCATTCATTCATATGAATAGATTGTATGACTAATTGTGATCGCAATTAACTCTCGCGTCAAGTAATCGTTGGAATCAATGCTCGACTCTTCCCGACAGAGAGTAAGTCATATTCACTACTCATTCACTCATTAGTCACACAAACATCACACCTGAGGTGGAGGTCAACAATACCTGTGAACACAAACACTGCTAAATGCACTCATTGTGTCTACTATTGACACTTCAGTGCCATTCAGAGACCACAACACCTATTGATTGTCCCAATACTAGTCAGACCTCTCATATATTGATAATACTTTTAGTAATCGTCTCAAACATACCATTAGTTCATTCATAGCCCCAGAAATAGCCACTCATTTGGATGTAATTGTCGTCTATTTTGATCACTTAATCGTATATTACATTCATTTGTATTACTCATACATTAATACCTATTTGTATACTAATTATATTTGTATGAAAACTATTTGTTTATGTAATCAATGTATGGTTTCGTAGAGTATTCAGTGATTTCACGAATATTCACAACAAATACACGTTTGCCACACATTTGAGCCCATATTTGCCACTAAATTGTGTTCACAACTCATCACAGCTTACATAACAATACACTACACTATACTCTACTTATATAACACTATATTATAAATAGACTACAATTGACCATGCTATTATACAATTTATAAATATATAGACTGGTTTTGTAGATTTATATATGTTAGCCAATATGGTAGAAAATAGTGGTCGAGAATATTCTGATGGTCATTTACTGCGATATTACAATTATGGCTATTCATATTGGGGTTACGGAATTGATATGTGATTATACGATATACAGTAGTGTACCATGTAGTTTTGATGCATTATTGCATTATATAGGTTATAACTTATAATTATAACCATGATCAATTATTGGTATAAATTATTTATATTTATAACCAAATTATATTTGATGCAGAATTAGTGAATTGTTGATAAAATTGGTGATGCGAGTGTGCCTTAAGTGAAACCCATTGAATATCACAACACTTTAAATACTATTTAATAATTGATTTTGTAATCATTTGATTAAAAATAATCTAAAAATAGTTTTAAGTCAAAATTGATGAGAAAAGCCATTCATTGACTAGTATTTAAAATGTAATGATAAACCACTTATTGAATGATTTACTTATAGTATTAATATTTGAAACATTGAATGAATGAAACTTAAGGATTACTATTACTTACTATACATTCACTACAACTATAGTACTATCTGTTGAATGAATAAATGAATGAAATTAGTCAACATTTTTACATAACGTCTATAATATCTATAAATATCCTAAAATAGATGTAATGATAAGCATATTGACCATAATGTTAGGCATTTTGTTTGTAATGAAATATTAATGAATTGAATGTGGGATCAGATGGCAGGAGGACAGGACCAGAAGTGGCAGAAGGACGCGGCCGACCAGAACTTTGACTATATGTTCAAAATACTGATCATAGGAAACAGTTCTGTCGGAAAGACTTCATTCCTCTTCCGTTATGCGGACGACTCGTTCACCTCTGCGTTCGTCAGTACTGTTGGCATCGATTTCAAAGTGAAGACAGTCTTCAGACAAGACAAGAGAGTGAAACTCCAAATATGGGTTTGTATTGAATTGTAATGGAGTAATGGATTCAATGATTGAGATGATGTGTACAACGATAGGACACGGCTGGACAGGAGAGATACCGAACGATAACCACTGCCTATTATAGGGGTGCCATGGGATTCATTCTCATGTATGACGTGACCAATGAAGAGTCCTTCAATAGTGTTCAGGACTGGTATGTGTGCAATGATGTGAAGTGTGAGACTGGTTCAAGTGTTGTAATGTTGGTTGTTTTGGGTGATAGGGTGACTCAGATCAAGACGTATTCGTGGGACAACGCGCAGGTGATTCTTGTGGGCAATAAGTGCGATATGGAGGACGAGAGAGTGGTGTCGTTTGAAAGGGGCAAACAATTGGCCGATCAGTTAGGACTGGAGTTCTTCGAGACGTCTGCCAAAGAGAACATAAACGTGAAGTCAGTATTTGAGCGTTTAGTGGATATAATATGCGATAAGATGTCTGAGAGTCTCGACTCGGACCCAACTTTGGTGAACGCGCCTAAAGGGACGCGTTTGACCGACAATCCGATGCCAACAAACAGCGGCTGTCAGTGTTAAGGATTACCTCATGCTTTATGTGAGACCTGTAATTACCACTAAATNGACTCGGACCCAACTTTGGTGAACGCGCCTAAAGGGACGCGTTTGACCGACAATCCGATGCCAACAAACAGCGGCTGTCAGTGTTAAGGATTACCTCATGCTTTATGTGAGACCTGTAATTACCACTAAATTTAGTAATGAATATGGAATTTAATTATCAATTTATTGGAACTTTTGGTCCATTATTTAGTAATCCTTTGAATTTTGTTAAGACATAAGCAATCTTTTAGAGTAATTATTCGTTCATTTAATTCAATTTAAAGGTTTACTGATTCATGAGATCTCATATATGAACAGTTGATGTTTGCATATATTAACTAATTTTAATTATAAATAATTAAATAGTCATTATATACCTGTATAAATATATAAAGTACTATATGTATACAGTATTGCCGTTTATTTATATGATATATTCTGTATATACTGTAAGTATACAAATGTATGTTATTCTGTATACAAACGGCATATTCTGTATATTAATATTAATACCTTATATACGATATAATTAACTAATTTTCGTAACAATTTGAAACTCAATCGCTTCACTCTATTGTCTCTATTGAGTCGATACCTATTGTTATGAAAAAACAATTTGTGTTCAATCAGTGCTACAAAAAACACCGATTATTTGCATTTCAACTAAACTGAACCAATCTTTTTGATTCCACTAAATCTAAGTCAATATATTTAGTCATTTTTTTGGTTGTTTTTCTCACTTTATTTTTGAATTTTATTTTGTTTTATTATAATTATTACACTTATATTTATATACAATATATATTACATTCCATTATATAATTTGGTGCCAAATTCTGGTCAAATAAGTGCACACTTTATCACATACTTTTCAATCATATCTCAGTTATTAATTATAAATTTTATTTTTAAAATATATTATATTTATGTTTTAATTATTGTTTTGTTTTCTATGTTGAGTACTACTCATAAGTGATCACATTTACGGTTATTTTATTATAATTTTATTTAGATTTAGATTATATAAACACCTAATTGTGATCAAAGGACTTGATTTGTGATCACTTATAAGTCGGACAACAAATTCACTCAAATTTGTTAACAAATGATTGATTGAATGTATGATAGTTTAGCTGATAATAAGTGCAATGCATTTTATCGCAAACTAAATCAATTACACATTAAATGAAATCCCCAAATGTTTTGATGAAATACAATGTACTGACATATCTTATAATTTAAATTTAAGTTATTTACTAATTAAATGGCTGTAAGTGTCGATTCAAATGTTTAAGAAGAGCACAATCATTAGATCAGTGTATTTACCGGTCAGTTACGTCTGATATATCGATATAAAACTTGAACATTTTGTGCTAATTATTGTAAACGAGTCCATAACTAATGCAATGTAATGTAAACTATATTATCATTTAATTTGTGCTTAGAATCAAATATGTGGTACTCTTTTCAAAATACAGTATTTTAAGTATTTATTCATTTATTATTGTATTATTATTTATTATAGTATTTTACAGTAATTATTATTTTAATTATACAATGCATTTGTGAGCAAATGTATAACAATTAATAAAAGTACAGTAACTTATGATAATGTGTGGGCAAAGCAGTGCTATGTTAACAATGTTTGTCTGTTCCGTATATGATATCAATTGGGTTTCTTATAATTTTGGTTTTAGTATTCATTTATATATCAATTGTTGGGTCGGAAAGAGTGATGAAGAGGCTGTTGAGCACCTAATCGTACAATGAATTCAATAATAATTATCTAATTATTTCCCATGTAATCAAAAGAATGTAAACTATTGTAAACTGTATTCTGTATCTCTATTCACAGTAATTAAGTGCTCATTAGGTATAGGAATAGTGCTATTGTGTGTCAGATTGAGGATTGAGATGATGTTTGTTTGCCAAAAGGTTTTTACAACAAATCAACTCAAAATTGAATACCAATTGATTGTTAAATTCACTAATTTTATAGCAATTGTTATACCAATAGATGAGTTATATTTTTGGTGATATTATATAAGCATTTATTTGTAACACATTCCCAAATATAGCACTGCTTTGCTTAACAATAAAATAACAACATTTCCACAAATGGACTAAATTTATAGATAGTTTGAAGTTTAAACTCATATATATTTAGATATGATATTTGGACTCATTTTAATGAATGTTATGTTTTGGATAACAATTTAAAAAACCTATTGTCATATAATTTAAATAATACTTTATATAATGGTATTTGTCTTTATTTTTGATTGAATTATTTACACAATTGAGTCATAAATGCATTTAAAATAAATGAAAAAATTGTAAAAACATTTAGAAATATAAATAAAATTGTTGTCTAAACTAAACACCATTTGAATGAATGAACGATTGATTTAAT